AGAGAGGTGGGCCAAAGCCAATACTAAGAATGGTTTTGAGAAAGGGACAAAAAGGCTGCTCCATATGTTAATGCTGAGATTTTACATTCCTTCACAATATTCTTCTACAGAGTAGAAACATTTAGTAATAATTAAAACAAAAATACACTGAGGACATATGGCCGAAGTACTAATCTCACGATATTTAACAAAAAAAATTAGAACTTCGAGATGCCTTAGGAAGCCATTAATTAAACATTTCATGTGTGTGCCTCTCACACTGTTTAAATTAAAACACTTAAGTTGACCATACTCATTTCACAACTGAAAAATTGGCACACACTGGTCAGGTAACTAAAGGAAACAAGCATGGACAAATGTTGATGCTGTAGTTCATTTAACAAAAGGAGTTTACTTAAAAGAGACTGCTGGTAAATCAATCATCAGCAGTTAACTAAAGGAGTCCATCTATTTTCCTCAATTAAAAGCAGTTATTCTTTACACTGAAACCCCCATGAAGATTCTATCAGAAAAGTAAACGGGTATTGTACTACTAGACAAGCAAACTTTCAGCAGAGCTTTTTTGCTGTTTTTTACTGTTTGTACTGCACCTATCCAATGAGGCCCCAACTTTGACCGGGGCATCTAGGTGCTACCATAATATGCACAACAAAGGGACACTATAACTGCATCTCTGTCAGCCTTAAAGAAAACTATATACATGCACTACAATCACAATTAATTTCAAGTTTTATCAAGATAGTGACAAAAGAAAATGAAATTAATTCACACATCCTTGGAGTCATCACTCCCCTGCGTATTTTGCTATTGGGTGTGGACTGCCCGTGCATAGACAAAGGGTATAAAAGCACGTTGGTAGCTATTCCTCTCCAAGCCAATAAAACTCTCTGGTGATCAAGATACCTAGTTATCAATATTCAAAACTGTAAGTACCTGCACATGAGTATAACGATTTGATCAGATGTGGGTAAACAGATGCTGGAGAATCCACGTCCTCCTGGTTTTCAGATGCAGGAGTGCAGGGCTCTGGAGGCTGCCTGAGTTGTAACGACATTTCATTTCCTGATCCATTCTCCTTCTCCTCTAGCACAAGATCTTTTTGCTTTGTTTGCTGAGTCTTTATTAACTGAGACAACAAAACAGCAAATGCACTCTGCACAGCTGCCTGGGCAGCATCAGTCTCGATTTTAGGCTGAGTCAGCTGAGCAGGTGGTACAGCCGGCTGAGTGACTACTGGCTGTTGTAAAGGCTCCTGTTCTGGTGGTGGTGGAGGCGGCTGTTGTTCTGGCTGCTTTACACCTGCTGCCAAAATACCAGCAGAGTTGCTGATGAGTCTCTGGGTTTACCTTAATATTCAACACTTCGGCAAAATGTGCCATACTAACACTTGTTTTAGACTGAAGAAGATTTAGCAGGATTGCCACTTCATTCTGGTTTAACTGCTGTCCAGTGCTTGTTTTCACTAAAGACAAAAAAGAGTTTTAAAAGCATTATTTAGAACTGTCACACTGTAGACACTCCAGATCAAGCTTAATATACAATGGCTAATATTCTTGGCAGAGCACAGGTTTCTGAGACAATACAGAAATGGACTGCTTTTACAAATTAATTACATTTGGAAGAATAGTAGGAAATTGAATAGCATGATCCAATACAGAGAAAATTATTTGAAAGGCATGCACACACTTTAAGACAGATGAGAAATATCATGTTTGAGCTGAATTTTCCACAATACAGTGAAGCCAAGGTTTAAGGCCACCTGCATTAGACAGCTGTAAGATTTCCAGTCACCATCTATCTCTGACATAATACACCACTTTGCTTAAAAAGGGACCATCTGCAAAACACATTTCCAGTCAGAACCTGACCTTCCAGAAGCTTAATTTGCATGCTGTGACACCTCCTAAAATGACCAGACTGACAGAGAAATTAATAAGTCATCTGAAGGTAATGGCACAAGTGCAAGACAACTGAGAAAGATAAGTTGCTAAGTAAAATCAAAGATAGTTCTGTTGATTTTTGAGGTGAGGAGAAATATGGGTTTTCAGTCTTCTGCTCATTTAAGAGCTGGAGAAAGTAGTCCAGGTTTAAAAGGCACTTTATGGTGAAGCTTCTGATTTATGAGATTTAAGAACGCTGCACAATCAGAACAGACCAAGAGTCCACCCAGCCTAAAAATATAAAGGAGGAATGGAACAGGATCCCTTATTCATGGTTTACCTACCGATTCATCATGAAACACAGACAGTACATAAACCTAGCAGCATGACTGGTGACAGAAAAAAAAAGGTTGCTAATTGGGAATACCATAAAATACTAATAATTTAGATTTCAATTCCACAATGGAATATCATCTCGGAGAAACTTTTTTATATAAAAATTATACAAAGGCATCACATCTTCCTATTTACATAGACAGCCTCCAACAAGTTGATATCAAATATCCGATATCAAAATTGAACTTTCATATGTGAAATTAGAAGGCTTCCAATGTAATGTAATTTCTGGCAACAGCCAATGAAGTCTGGACAGCTGGTATTTTAAAAAACAAAAACATTTGCCCAGAGCATTTGACTCACTGCTAAAGAGGACACAGTTGTGAGCAAACAGTTGTTGCAAAATTAAAATCAGCCTGTTTGTTGATGTAAGCTGGAGCACTACCAGCTGAACGTAGTGAAGACAGTGGGATTTCAAAAACAATTAACTTTTTATTTGGCAATGCACAGAACTCTCTCAGATGTTTTGCACTGCATTCTCTTGATGTATTAATTAGCCACATAACAGATGTCAAGCCTGCTGCAAATTACATGACATCTGAAAATGGTCTGTCCAAGACCAAGAACAGAATTTTTCAAAATGCAAAATTGTAACTCCAGTAGACAATTTGAATAGAGAGAAAGGAAACTTGCAGCATCTTTCTTCGCACCCCCAAACTGTTGATTAGTCAACATTAAAGACATCCATATCATTGTGGAATTCAAATTCTTGGTGGAAATCATAACCGATACCTGCACATATGCCATGACAAGAGCTTCACATAAGGACTAAAATAATAGCAAATAACCCATAACAAATGGTTTTACCCAAAATAAGAAATATTAATTCTCTGTGCATTGTCATATGTGCAGTGATTTAGTTTAGTTAAATTTGGATAAAGTCTGCACCCCCCATGACTTATTGTACATAATTATTTTACATTTGCTCATTCAACATGTACACACTCCTAAGTTTTGGAACATAGACATTTTCCATTTTATATAAAATATGTGCAGTTTTCTATCATACACTAAAACCCTGCTTTCCCATCCTGATTAATGTTTTATATTCTATACTTGCACTTGTTCCAAGAATGACATGGGGCTAAATAATTAATTCTTCAGATCTTTCGTTAACTTTACAAACATAATACAAAATTAATAAAGTTAATACTCAGATAAGTGGTTAACTTTTATAACAGCATAACCAACATAACTTTAACCACCGGGGCTCTAATAAATTATCCCATATTGAAGATTAGCATAAAATGTTTAGGATATAAATGGAGTTTCAAAGTCATATCAAGACTTGAGACTACTGTTGCCAAAAGTGACAAACATACAGATGGATTACAATGAGAAGTGAGATGACAAGGAGCAAGAGGTAATAAACTATACTGGGCAGGAGAACTGTATCATTACATTTCTACAACATATATTTGGACCTGTGGCCTACTGTTGGAGAGACCCGATTTGAGATTTATTGTCCATTCAGAATTTAAATGGAGGCACTACACACTTGCACACTTAATTCTAGGAGCTCTCACTTTAATGACCCTACACTTTCTAATGTGCCATGTTAGAAAAACTGTCCATGTCAAACTCTAGCCTGTTCCTTTTTCAGAAGTTTACAAACAAACAATCTATACTTTAGAATGGAAGTTTAAAAATGCTTTGCTTATGGTAAGGGAAGAAGTACCACCTGTTTCAATAAGAAGATATCTCATTTGATTATGGTTATAAATTGACATTTTCTTCCTGATGTCTTCAAAGCAGTTCTTTGTACCAAGGCAGACACTCCAAGCTTGGTTTTCTGCTTTAATGGTTGGAATAACATTGAGGTAGCTCGCTAATTTTCTTGTCATAATACAAGCAGCTCCCTCATTAGCTAGTATCTCAGCTCAGCATTACCAGTTAGAGAGACATGCTAAGGCAGATCTGGGCAGATTATGTAACACAGGAGAAGAATCTATTTGTTGTGAAGATGATGTCTGAATTGAAACCCATGTCCATCAATTTGTGTCATGATCAATGAGGTTGCTCCAGACCAGTGCTTTTTTTGTGACAGTACTGCCCAGTACACAGTACTGGCACCTCCAGTCAGAGCTCAATAACTTTTCCCCTAGAGTATGGGCACTTTTTTTTTTTTTTTAAATAAAAAAGCACTGCTCCAGACTATGAAGAGTTCTTCAGTGAGAGTTGGAGCAGCTACTCATGTGCATGGTGATAAGAAACCCTGAGGGGACAACATAGACCAAAAATAAATTAATAAACAACAATTATCAGCAAGATATTTAAATACCAAGTGAAAACTCGTTATTCAAGTCATACTGGGAATGCCTGATTACTAGGAAGAAGATGCATTTTTAAATTTTACACTTTTGCTTCCTTTATCAATGCCAAGAGGTTTCAGGATTTTGAAAGTGTTAACATCTACATTTCTATATGCATACTTAGCAAAGTAACAGACAATTTAATGGGACAAAACTACAAAAAAGTTTACTGACCAAGTGCTACACTAGAGTTGCCCTGAGTAGTGAGTTTGGAAGAAGTCTGCATTCCTTGTGGGGTGTTGGTTCTGCTGTCATCCAGGCCTAAAGACAAATCCTTCCTAGGAATTTTAGCTGCTGTTGTGTCATCTGTCATACCCATCTGCTTCTGCCTTCTACGTTTCTTACTCCACAGTTCATGACAATCTTGCCACAAAGGAAGGCTGTAAAGAAATATAGTAAATATTCAGTATTATTTGAGTACAAAATGTGAAATTAATGCTCAATACATAACAGTCAGAAAAGGTTGGTTTCTGTGAATAAATAATTGTAACAAGTGTGTAATACAATCAATCTCAAAAGGGCTTCTTAACTGAAACTGTGTCAACTGACCTTTTACAGAAAGGAAAGTTACTCTAATATAACTCAGCAAGTTGCAATCCTCTAAACTAACCCAGGACTTTTGCATTAAAATAAATAGTTCAGATATGCTGTTCATTCAATGAAGTTAGGAACAAGCCAGATTCTACTGCTTATCAGGACAGGATCAGAGCACATGAAAACCAATGGTCAGACACTTGGGTCCTGCCTCAGACACTGGCTGGAATCCTCAGACAAAGCTACATACACCTCCTGGCCCCTGTGATCAGAGGCAAAGCCAGCTTGTCTATCAAATATCTATTGAGGTCACATAACAGAAGAGGAAGGGAGCACACACAATCTTAAGTAAACCACTGTTCTTTTCCATTTCCCTTCAGAATGACTTATGAGTTTCAAAGCTGGTTTCAGTGCTGCCCCACAAGCAAGTGAAGCTGGAGATCAACTGTTTGACGAGCTTGTTTTCTAGCTTTAACAAATAGAACTGCTTGGGTTTTTTCACATGCTATTTTTCATGTTGCAGGGTTAAAAGAAAGAAGGAAGCCCTTAGATGGCACTCTGTTACATCAGTAGATATTTTAAACATAAGAATTGAGCATCTGCCATGGCATCATCATTCAATCTCTTACATTTAGCTACAAATATAATGTAAAAACAAATTAACTACTTGCTTGTAACATTCTTATATAACAGAAAATCTTCAGACATGTAAATCAAGTGATTAAACTATTCATTGGTAGGGTGCTGAACAGCTGTTGGTTAACATCCAGGATAGCTAAATAAAAAATATTTTGTGTATCTATGTACCATCAAACACAAGGGACTATGGCTTAAGTCAATTTATTTTTATCAAGGTACAGTTTGGACCTCCCTGGTTTGGCACCCTCATGTTAACCTTTGCTCCTGGTCACCAGCCTCAACAGAGGTCCTGGCCCATCCTGTCACTGGCCCCTCTGCACTCTTGGCTGGGGAAGGGGGCGCGGCGGGGGCCCCCAGCCACTTGCAACTCCTTCCCCTCCTGACCCTGGCTAGGCTCTTGGCCAGCAGCTCCCGCCCCCACCCCCGCCCCCACCATCTACCAGATTCTCAGCCAGTGCCTGCTCCCATCCAGCAGGGAGGGCCCTCTCTGGACCATGGATTTTGCTGCACCAGAGTGTCCTGGATTACCGAGGTTCAACTTGCAACATTATAGGAAGGAGTTCTTAAATCTATGCTCTGGCTACAATGACTTTGATGACCTACCCCACTTTTTTATTTCTAATGAATTAAATAACCAATAAAGCCCTTAATTTTAAGAAAAAGGGAGTATGGATAGCAGCAAAAGCTGATTACATAAGCACAACAGGACTAGATGCCCAATACTTGCAGTGCTTCCTTTAATATTTGTGTAGACTGGGCAGCCAGGAAACATTCCCTTTTACTACCACCTCTGCAAAAAGAACAAACCAGTGATGAAGCACATCTGCTCTATAATTTGGAGGCCAGGAAGAGATGCACAGGAGAAACCCCCTAAATCTTTAAAGGCAATGGAAAGTATATAGTAGAGCTTAGATGGTGGGAGAGCTCTGTTGAGACTTGACCATGATTCCCATCTTCCCCACCCTCGTCTGTAGAGTCACTCTCTCTCTCATCTTCTGACAGGACAAGAGTGCCTGGGTATTGTAATGATTAGGTACTTTCATAAATACCAAGAGTGATGACTAAGTTTTTCCATGTGTTTTCCCATCACCTACAGAAACAGAGTAGGAAAGGGATCCTGTTTTAAGCAAGGAAAAGAAGGTGGCCCTCCTGGAACCAAAGAATAGGAAGACACACAATATCTTTCTCTCTGCAGTAGGTCAGAGGCATGCCAGGTATAGGGAACTGGGTGAGTGAGAAGTCCTCCTACCACAGCCTTCCCTGCAGTCTTGAAAAAACAGCTGTTCCTACTCATTCCAATAGATACACTTTCAAGAAAGGAAAAACAGCTTCCTACTATGCCAGAGATAAGTGGAGTCTGTCACAGATCCCAAGCTATTGGATTCTCAAAAGGAAAGCAAAATAGACCATTTGAAATTTCAACATGCTGTAACAGCAAAGATTCTCACAATGGAAAAAGATTAGAGGAAAATAACATTTTTCCAAGGTGTACTGATTCATTCTTGTTTTCGACTTGTACATTTTAGTTATTTTCATAAGGAATGATTCTCAGTGGTTGGGAAATATTAAAAACATGGGGATTTAAAACAAAATACACCCTTTACACAATACGTGTTGCTTCTTTTTGCTCCCTACAAGGATATACAGTGACTATACACTCACTTCAAGCAATTTTATAGCTAAACATATGTACTTATATTATGAATAAATGTAACATTTAAGAATGTGCTTTAAAATGGTGAATGACAAATGTCTTATTTATTAGATGAGTACATTTTACTTCTGAGTTGTTTTAAATTAAGCTAGATGGAAATTCAAATTTAATTTTTGAAAAAATGCACAAAACAGCATTTTTAAATTATTTTCCATTTGATAAGTAAATAAATGAATCCCTTAAATATGTGAAATACATACATAAGAAACTTAAGTTTATCAAAACATTATTTGCCTTTAAAACTAATTAACTTATTAAACAATGAAAGTATCTGTAATAAGTGAACTGAACTGATTGTTTTGTTTCTGGTCACCATGCTCTTCATGATATGGAACTAGCTAATCTCACCCTCTCCAACTTGCATTTTAATTTATAGATTTTGGAAAAAAAAAAAAAGCAAGAAACCATGTTTTACTCCCAATTTATATCTTCACTTTGAATAAATTAGTGATTCCACTGAATGAGTTGAATAAAGACAATATTTCTCTGAAGAAATATTGCAGAAGAGGCTACTGCCATCACAAGCTGATGTAGCACTTCAACACATTCTGATTCCAGATGCTTATCTAGTGACTCCCAACAGTTGAAGTGATTTTACTGTATTTAAACATCAGCAACAAACACTGAATTTGAATTGTCATCTAAATGATTGTAATAGATATTAATATGAATATTAAGTTTAATGAACATTTTAAAGTTTTGTCCTTAGTATAGGGTTTATAATTTCAAATTGAATTTGAAATGGGTTTTTAAAAAGTATTTCAAAATAAAAGATAAATATATAAAATATAAAAATCATATTTAAATCAAAACCATCCCATTCTTTTAAAAATCAATGTTTATCCACTGTTATTTGTGCAGCAGGTTTGTTTTGCATTTCCAACACTTTGTATAATCACTGAGTTTCTCCTGCTGGTGTGGATTTTATACACAAAAACAAGACAGAGGATAATGATTTTTAAAAACAAAAGAATTGGAAGGGAGGCATTGAAACAACCCAACTCATTTTGAAGATGACTAGATTTCAAGACATGTTTTAATGTCTTTTCCTTCTCCCAGGTGCCTCAACCCTCCATCTTTTAGGCAGCTATTCCCGTTAACAACCTGACTTCTTGCTAGACAGCTGTGCCCACTGGTGCTGCAGCTAACCACATTTCCAATCAGTGATACAAGTCCCGACTCAGCTCCCAGAAAAGACAACAAAAAAATCTCCCATAGGTTTCAATGACAATAGGATCAGCTCCATCCATAGCAACAGTCAGCAGCAATTAGGGATCCTTGAGACAGCACTACCAATAATTTTTATTTTAAACCAAAATCATTCATTTGCCAAATCATCACTTGATAAAAGAACATGTCAATGGTTCCAGTCGCCCTTAAAATTGCACCTGCAGGTAGGGATGTGTTATTGCAAACTGTTATACAGTGTATACATGGTTATACACAGGTCCATCCCAAGCTGCTGCCTCAATATCAGAAGCAGCAGCGTGTGGGGAATTGTGGCTGTGCCATGGCCTCCCGCAGAACTACCTGCTTTCTCTTTCCCCACCCCCCGCCTCTGATACAGTAGTATCAGAAATTTTCAGCAGTTACACATTTACTTAAAATGCGTTTATTAAACATCTCTACTTGCAGTTCACTTTTAAACCAAACAGCTTAATTCTGAAGCGTACCATGCCCCTAAATTACCATGTTTGGACCACATTCAGCACACTGATCCTGTAATGCTTACCCATTTTATTTAGTAAGTCCTGTTACAACATGAAACTTTACTAATAACATGAGAATCAACCCAAGCCATCCCTGGAAACTGAACCTTATTACAAGAGGCACTCCTTTTTTAAAAAAACCACTATTTTATGTTTTAATTTTCTCGGAACTGCACATTTGATTTGTTCAATATTGTTGAAGATTTGACAAACTGGAACTTGAGCAGACCATTAACACAGACAAATTGGGGCTTCATATATTGAGAAGGAAACAGCAATCCCCTAATGAGTGTAGATACTGGAGTCCAAGGAAACGAAACAAAAAAAGTGGAATAAATGTTTTTATCCTTGTTATTTAGGGACATTCATTCTTCTAAGTACATTTGGCAGGTCACTAAAGGTACATCTACACAGCAGCGTTATTTTGGAATAACTGTGTGTGTCTACGCTACAAGCTGTTATTTTGAAATAACATTGAGCTGGAGGACTTCTTACTCAGACTCATGATATTCCTCTTTTTACAAGGAGTAACGGAAGTTGAAAGAAGAACACTCTTCCTTTGACTTCCTGCTGTACAGACAGCTTAATTCAGCTTTTGGCGCTATTTCAACTTCAGCTACACAATTAACATAACTGGAGTTGTTTTGCTTAATTCGACTTTAGCCTCGCTGTGTAGATGTACCCTAACTCTAGGAAAGATATACAGAATGCCTAACCAACCAAACATGGAACTATTGTACAGTCCCCTTGTTCACAGTACAGGAGCTACTCAACTTGATAGCTCTCTTAGGCCTTGTCTATATTTACATAGAGATCCATGCTCTAGAGATTGAGCTTCAGTAGTTTGATGTAGCAGGTCTAGTAAGGACCTGCTAAATCAATTGCTGAGTTCAGCAAACCCTGGTACTCCATAGGGTTGCAAGGAGTAAGGCAAGTCACAGTGGGACTGCCCCATAAATTAACTTTATAGACTGCAGCTATGCAATTCTTGCAGCTGGAGATGCACATCTTAAAATTGGATTTATTCCCCCACGACCCGTGTAGACTTCTTTAATGGGGCAATTACTAATATCTAATACCTTTGTGTTATGCTTTTACTATCTTTATTTACACCACTACCCAAACATTAAACACATACTCCCACTTTCGTATCAGGTAAAAGCTAACATGATCACAGAAGTAACTTACTCTGGTGGAGGCATTTTAGAAGGTTCCACATCTCGCAGAAACTCACACTGAAGAGCCTGCTCAGCTGTGCAACGCTTGCTGGGGTCCAAAGCAAGCATATAATCAAACAGATCTAATGCAGCTGGTGGAATACTAGTAAGAAGAGGAGAAAAATAGGGGGCAGAGTTATGTTTGTGTTATTTCAGATGCCATTTCTTTGTGTTATAAAAAACTTACACTTTAATTTGGCTTACTAGATTTTAATTATATTATTTAAAATTGGGATTTTTCATTAATACATTTGTTTTCCTTTTAACAAGGTTCTAATATTACTATATACTTTGGAATTTAGCAGACAGATTTATATTTTTAATTGGACAATAATTCTATTGCTTTAAAGTTACCCAAGTAGGCTCCACTAATATAACCAGGATAATACATTTTCCTAAGCCCCCAAAATTGTTGAAGGAGAAAAGGCAGCTTAAGCAGTCTTACAGATGTTTTCTACAACCTTCATGTTTGTTATTTCCATGAGATAACTCCACTATCATTATTTTAGGAGACATGGCTTTAGAGAATTAGTCTTGCATACTGTATTTATGACCACCAAGTCCCTAATGTTAGTCACTTTTAATTGTGATGGGCTAAGTCTATAAAGCTGCTTTTAGCTATAGGGACAATGAGCACATGCACCAATGAGCAAGTTTCACCAAGGTCTGAAGAGCAACCATTTCACAAGTACAAAGCTGCCAGGCAGATAACATACTTGGGTCCTTACCCCCTTCCTTGATACATGTACACAGGTCCCATTAACTAACATATCTAGAAGCTCAGCATGCATATCAAAGAAAGGATAGGGTAGGTCACTTCTCTCTACCTTTGACTGAACCCACAAACAAATCTTTGAAAAAATAATGAAATTCTTAGAAGAACTAAGAAAACAATGCAATGCAGATGATTAAATTAAGTCTTCAGCCTTACAAAGCAAACTCTTCTCGCAACTTTCGACGATACTGCTTCTTTGGTTTCATGGTGTTGAAATAGGCTAACTTTATTACATCAGGCCAGACTGCAGGACAAGGACTCCCACAAATTCGGCTGTACACCAAAAACAAAAACAAAACCGTCAATGTATGAGATCAAACACCAACAAGGAATGTGGTTTTACAATCATCAAAGGCATTAACAAACAGAACAAATTCTAGTCTCAAGATCATCTTATTTGAAGAAGTGGGTGTTTGTTGCCCATGAAAGCAGGCACCAAAGGACTATTCATTTTTAAAGTTACAGACTAACACAGCTATCTCTCTAAGACTTCTCATCTCCATGAACGTGTTCACAAGCCTCCTGTGATCCATGCCATGAAGTTTTTCAAGAGTTGGGAAGGAAGCGTTGGTAAATATTCACTCTTAACACTCTATAAACTATATTATTTCATCCACACTTCTCCAAAGAAGAGGCTCTTTATAACCAATTACTGTGTTCTTGAAAATGATAGAAAATCCCACTTAGGGATGTGAAGGTTTAACTGGCTAATCAGTGCACCCTTCCCCACCACACCTAGCCACGGGCCGGGAGGGGAGTGCTCCAGCTTGAGTAGGCAAGAACGTCTTCCCTCTCCCCCCAACATGGTGGGCCCTGCCCAGCTGGAGCAGACCTTCGCCTGTGGCATACCGCAGGCAGGGGGCTGCTCCAGCCCAGCTCTAGCCCACCCCTCATAGTGCCACAGGTGGTTAACTGGTTAAACCTAAAGCTTAACTGGTTAACAATTTACATGGGATTTTACATCCCTAACTCCATTTGGCACACTAAGGTAGTGTCCCATCTACCCTAATCAAAGGTTAGTTTCTTTCATGGATGGCTAGGTGTGAGAAATTTAAAAGACAGGAGTAAATTTGGATGATGGGCACTTCCTACATTTAGGGAGCTATTAGGTTTCTCTCTTACTCTTGATGTGGAAAGGAACTCTGACAAATGACTTGAGTTAAACACTTCATTGCTAAGAATGTAGTTACCAGATGAATGGAAAGGAGCCTTGTGAGGACCAAAAGTGGTGGCAGAGGTGAAACATGGTACTTGATTCTTAAACATAATAAAAAGGACCAGGGATTGAATTAAAAAAAATCAGAACTATCTTTTGGCTAAAGAAGGTCACTAAGCCAAACGCACCTCTCTACCTGTGGTTGCACAAATCCGTCCCTTCACCTGGCCTTGTCTAGAGTAGCATTTAAAATGGGGTGTTCCAATAGGTTAGCTACCACACTTTTCAAAAGTCTGTTGTGGATCCATCAGTGTAGATGTTAATATAAGCAAACCTGACTGAGTTAAAACCCAAACTCTCCTCAACAAATATTGAAGGCAATGGGTCTTGTCCACACTAGGCTTTTGAAAAACATATTCTATCAGTAACCTTTTCATCCTAAGGCAGACAAAGACACCTAATATGAAAACTAGGGTATCTACTTGTGGGTTTCACAGCCAGAAAGCTAATTTTACATAAATGCCAGGTGAACCGTTACATGTTTGTTTTCAAACTTCTACAGCAAGTTTTTCCTATAGTAGGCTCTTGGGCAGAAGAGCCTACGTCCTTTATTGTCTATAAGTTCCAGAAAGACTGGAAGTATTTTCTACATCACTAACAACTTATCTGTAGACCATCTTTAAACCACTGTAAAATGCTTTTATACCTATTTGTGTGAGGTACACAAGTACACAAAAAAGGCCATACTGGGTCAGACCCAAACCGGGGGAGTGAACATAACAGGTAATCATCAAGTGATCCCTCTCCTGCCATCCATTTCCAGCCTCTGACAAAAGAGAGGCTAGGGACACCATTCCTACCCATCCTGGCTAACAGCCCTTGATGGACATACCCTTCATGAATTTATCTAGTTCTTTCTTGAACCCTCCTAAAGACAGCACAAAGGTATGAATAAAGACATTACCTGGCTAGCATACTCCCTTCCACATCCTAATGACTTAACCAACCAATGGGTACTTAGAGAAGATGCAAATTGTTCTTATCAGCTTCTTGTAACACGAACACTCTAATTCACTATTTCCCCCCTTCCTTTCGTTGCCCTCCCCCGCCTCCCATCTCCTATTTATTTTGGGACTGGACTTTTAATATTCCATTCATCTGAAGAATCTGTAACTTAAAACACAACAAAAGGTCTGGTAGCACTTTATAGACTAACAAAACATGTAGATGGTATCATGAGCTTTCGTGGGCACTACCTGTCATCTGAAGTAGTGGGCTGTGCCCACGAAAGCTCATGATACCATCTACATGTTTTGTTAGTCTATAAAGTGCTACCAGACCTTTTGTTGTGTTTTAAGTTTAGCCTGTACAGACTAACTCGGCTACTCCTTGAAGCTTCTCGTAGATTAGTAAGGCATGATTTCCCTTTACAAAAACCATGTTGACTTTTTCCCACCAAATTATATTCATCTATGTGTCTGACAATTTTATTCTTTACTATAGTTTCAACTAATTTGCCTGGTAATGACGTTAGACCTACCAGTCTGTAATTACCAGGATCACCTCTAGAGCCCTTTTTTAAATATTGCCATCACATTAGCGATCTTCCAGACATTAGGTACAGAAGCTGATTTAAAGGATAGGTTACACTTGGGTGAATGCCATCTGCTCCCGGTAATTTGTTACTGTTAAGTTTATCAATTTGTTCCAAAACATCCTCTAATGACACTTCAATCTGGGACAATTCCTCACATGTCACCTAAAAGGAATTACTCAGGTTTGGGAATCTCCCTAACATCCTCAGCCCTGAAGACCGAAGCGAAGAATTCATTTAGTTTCTCCACAATTATCTTATCTTTGAGTGCACCTGTAGCATCTCAATTGTCCAGGAGCCCCATAGGTTGTTTGGCAGGCTTCCTGCTTCTGATGTATTTAAAAAACATTTTGCTATTACTTTTTAAGTTCCTGGCTAGCTGTTCTTCAAACGCCTTTTTGGCTTTTTTTATATTTTTACACTTAATTTGACAGAGCTTATATGCTCCTTTCTATTTTCCTCACTAGGACTTAACTTCCACTTTTTAACAATGCCTTTTTTTCCTCTCACTGCTTCTTTTACTTGGTTAAGCCAAGCCATGGAGGCACTTTTTTGGTTCTTTTACTGTGTTTTTTAATTTGGGGTATACATTTAAGTTGGGCCTCTATTATGGTGTCTTTGAAAAGTTTTCATGCAACTTGCAGGGATTTTACTTTGTCACTGTACTTTTTAATTTCTGTTTAACTAACTTCCTCATTTTTGCATAGTTCCCCATTCTGAGATTAAATGCCACAGTGTTGGGCTGCTGAGGTGTTTTTCTCACTACAGGGATGTTAAATTTAATTAAATTATGGCCACTATTTCCTAGCAGTCCCGTTATATTTACCTCTTGGACCAGATCCTGCACTCCCCTTAGGACTAAATCAAGAATTGCCTCTCCCCTTGTGGGTTCCAGAACCAGCTCCTCCAAGAAGCAGTAGATATCAAAAATTTTTATCTCTGTATCCCATCCTGAGGCAACGTGTATCCAGTCAATATGGGGATAGTTGAAATCTCCACGATTATTAAGTTTTTTATTTTGATTGCCTCTCTAATCTCCCTTACCAGTTCACAGTCACTATCACTAGCCTATTAGCTGCAGCATATTCTGGAAAAGTAGTTAGACTCTGCTAATTTTCCTTCTAGACCTTTTTCTGGTCCAAGTCTATCTGTAGTCTTGAAATATTTGGGGGAAAGGCCACGGAGGAAAATAAAACAAAATGCTGATAGCCACCCATGATACTGATAGAGGCTTTAAATTAAATTAATTAAAAGTGGCTTACAAGCTGAAAATGTACAATATGACATGACTAAGAACTGATTCCATTATGGGTAGTTTATGTTCAAATTAAAATATTCTGGGAATGGTCCCAATGTATTAAATTTTACAAATTATATCAATTCACTCTTTACAAAACTATGTCCAGTTCTGGTAAAGAAAGCCAGAACTGTCTTTACAAAACTATGTCCAGTTCTGGTGGTGAAAGCCAGAACTAGAATTAAAGTGCAGTGCTGCCATCTCGTGGTTAAGGCAAAAACATTCACACAGCATGAGTTTTGACTCAAAAGTGAAAAAATGACAAGATGTTTTGCACCTTCTAAAAGGTGGTTGTACTTTTACAGACCAACTTTCCTACATATTACATATAGCTTTTACCGCCCACATAGATTTACTGCTTTTCAGAATCAAATATTTCACACTTGAAAAGTGATCAGGGCAAAGGAGCAATTCACTGACTCATTCTCTTTTTCCTTTTCCAGAAAGACGTTTCCTTGCCATTGCCTAGGTTGATTATGATATCAAAAGCAGGAGACATCATTAGCCACCAGAATAAAGAAAAGAGGCTCTGACTAATTCAAGCATCTACTGCCCAAGAAGATCCACTGGGGCAGAAAGGGTCTCTCCCTCCAACATATCTGACAATTCGTTACAGAAAGTAGAGAAACCCTCCCTATGGCAGAACAAATAAGTATCATAGGATCAGCAGTATGCAGAGAACCTAGCCCTAAGCAAAGCTTTCCATTTTAGTCATTCTTTAGTCCCCTATGGGGCTTTTTTCCTGCTTGCTGATGGGAGAATGGAGTAAGGAAGCTGCAATCTCACCTGATTAAAAACTGGGCATGTCAAATGCCCAGTTATGAGATGAGCTTGAGTAAGGTATAACTCCCACTACGCTATAAAAAGTTCTACTTACCACTGCACTGCTATGCCATGGAAAGCTACGAGGCAATTTGCAAATTCATAGTGATTTGTTTTATATTGTCCCAAAAATCTACCACATTTTTATTCTGAGAAGCAACTGTGACAACCTTTTAAATGTTAATATTGTAACTCCATTTTTTCAATGCTTATTAAAAAGTGCTATGGATTTTATAAAGTACCAACTACACTGTTATCTAAAAGTTACCTTATTAGTTCCAGCTGAGCAAGTTCCTGATTTGCTTGAAATATTGGTTTTTTAGTAAAAAGTTCACCCAGGATACAGCTGTAAAATAAGATTACATAATTCCATCAATATCATTTCATATAAAATTATTTAAGATTTATTTTGTTTAAATGATCTATACTCAACACTTATGTATTATAACTTCTTACCCACAGCTCCAGACATCTATGGCTGGTGTGTATCTTTCCTCCCCAAGCAGAAGTTCAGGAGGCCGGTACCATAAAGTAATAACTTTGTTCTACACTGGTCGACTGACACACACACACACACACAAACAAACAAAAAAAAGACAGATTCAATATTTCTCTTAAAATGAGACTGTAGTTAACTAATCAAAGTTGAGGTTTCATTATTATAATTTTATTTTTAAGATGTTCCAATTTTCATTCCTTTTTACTAATATGGAGGCTGCTGCCACTATCGCATGAAGCTAAATCTTGTCATCTGCCTAAATCTACCAAAGGACAGTGTGAAACAGTATCTCAAAGATAAATGATCATCACCATCCTCATAAGTATTAAATATCATCAGGCTTCAGAATTAAATACCTATACTGCTAACTATCTAATTGCTGATCATTTCAAAGATAAGACATTAGCTAATATGTCCATCCACAGCTGTTAGGTGCAGTAACTGACACAGTAATTTGTTTGCTTGACTGCTAAACAAAAAGAGTTCAACAGTGAAAATAATTCAACTCATCATGCCCACAAAGAAGAGAAGCACACATGCAGCTGTTCCCTACTATCACAAGCTTCAACTACCTCTTGGGTTTCAAAACTCACAAATCTTCATTGATTCCAATAGCCCCAACCTCCCATTCACAAGCTATAAAAGCTTCCAGGCCTCACTGAAAGACTTCTGCAGTGTTTTGGGGCATCGCCAACACAAAAAAAATATATAGTTTAGTTTTAAGTTTGAAGACAGTATAAATAATGAAAAATATCACAACAGAACAGTGCTATTGCCAAATCTATTCCAATAGAAGTTTCTATTTTTGCATATCCTTAGGAGATGCCATAGAATATCCAATGTTCAGCAGCCCTTGCCACAGAACACAGTCACTGATTGTTAATGTCCATCACTACATCCCCAATAACCAGCATGATTTTAGCTATTAATATTATGTAACTTGAAATTTTTACACAATTTGAAAGCTAAGATTCCAGTAAAATGTAAGCAGTGAATAGCAATGTTTCAGCATTCATAGTTTTAAAACACAACAGCCAATACTACTGAAGTTACCTCTCCTAGCTTTCCTGGTAGAGTTTATAGATAACTGAAAAGCACCATTTCATATCTGTCATCGTTAATAAAGCATTAGGTTAGTGCCAACAGTTAGGTTTGAACTGCAAATGCACAGAGGTATAAAGTGAAGTATTTCAATAACTTATATGTGCTTAAAAAAGAAAGATACAAGGAAACTCTACCTTCTACAACAGGTGAACATTCCACATTGCAAATTACACCATTGTTATGTTCAATATAATTGCCTGATCAACTAAACACAGTGATCTATAATGTAGACTTCTGTATTTACTGAAAAGGACATAAAATTGATAACCTTATACTAAAAGAATCCACTCGTAGTGGCTCCACAAGCATGCACAAACACACACAACTGGTAACATATTCATAAGTGCTAAATGACTTTGGCTCTTAAGTCACTTTTGAAAATTTGACTTCTTGGAAATTTTACCTGTCCCTCCACATATATGCCAGGTTTATCCAGACAAGATTATTTTTTTCAGCAGTATTTAGACAGATTTGACTTTTTTTGTTACTGAATTTCTCTATTAATATTCAATTGTTAACGATTTCTCAACAGAGCTTTGTTTCAACAGGTACATTCCTATGTAATGTCTCACACTTTTTAATCTGGAAAATGTTGTATGTTCATAAGTGATTTTTTTTAATAGTCAGATGCACAATTGTGAGTGCAATTACCACAATACTGACAGGAAGCTGGGTAAATATGTACAGAAATGTACATGCTAATGAATAATTATGGCTAATTACTCCCTTTGTACATTGAAAATCTATTCATGCATGTTAAGTACACAATTACAAGTATGTTTTACCTATGGCTTAGTTATAAAAAGCTTACTTTAAGACTTTTCAAATATACCGCATATTTCGGTTAATTTAGCATTAAAGTAATACTTAAAAATGTTGCTGCAAGGTCCCAAATCTTTCTAAATGCTGTTTAATCAAATCAGTAAATTGTCAAAAAATATAATTCAGTTAGCAAAAACATATGGAAAAACTGTTGCAGCATGCTCCTTAATATTCATTAAATCTCTCTATTACGGAGAAGGAAACATGTACTCAATGAGAAGCTGAATCAGAAATGAGATGCCATGCAGCTAACAAGATTGCAAATACCCTTCCAAATGTAATATACGGATATGGTAAAAAAATTAATAAGTTTTACTACTGGATATAGTGACATACAAAGTAATGATGCTGCTTGTGTGTATACTAAAACTAGCTGTTTAGCATTAAAATTGTTGAAAAAAAATTTGATAAATACATTTTTCACAATCCCAAAGAGCAATCTGAATTTTACCCCAGCAATATATTTTAATTAATTGATAAAAAGAGCTTTTAATAAGCTGATATCATCTGTTAATGACAGTCAGTCAGGATTTAATGGAAATTACACACAAAAACTAACAGTCTGGTTCACTTGTGTGTTAGCATTATTAAACTAGATGCTAAAATGATGAGAATGGCTACGTCTACATTGGCCCCTTTTCCGGAAGGGGCATGTTAATTTCAGCGATCGCAATAGGGAAATCCGCGGGGGATTTAAATATCCCCCGCGGCATTTAAATAAAAATGTCCGCCGCTTTTTTCCGGCTTTTAGAAAAGCCGGAAAAGAGCGTCTACACTGGCCCCGATCCTCCGGAAAAAGCGCCCTTTCCGGAGGATCTTATTCCTACTTTGAATTAGGAATAAGATCCTCCGGAAAAGGGCGCTTTTTCCGGAGGATCGGGGCCAGTGTAGACGCTCTTATCCGGCTTTTCTAAAAGCCGGAAAAAAGCGGCGGACATTTTTATTTAAATGCCGCGGGGGATATTTAAATCCCCCGCGGATTTCCCTATTGCGATCGCTGAAATTAACATGCCCCTTCCGGAAAAGGGGCCAGTGTAGACGTAGCCAACAAGTGTGGGGCACATTGAAAAAACTGAGATAAGATTGTATTCATTCACTGTGAGCAAGTGAAAGTCTCCATTAAATTTGATGGAGCAAGTGTCTCCATTACATTTTCTAGCTGGTGCTTCGTTATCCAATCCCACATTTTTCCTTTAACATGTTAGAGATGATTAAATACAAACTTTCAAAATCAAGTATGAGCAAACAAATTGTTTGCGCAAAATGGCCAGATATGCCACTGAGCTCCTATGCAAGTATCCAAAATGAATATATGTTATGGTATAATGGTATAAAGTTAAAGGTGCACATTCAGTTTTGGAAACCAGATTCTGCATGTTACAACATTAGAGGAAAATGACTACAAGTAGGAAACATTAAAGTACAATTTTTTTACAAGTTGCTATACCATATTACAGTCAACAACTATTTGCTTAGATACAGGCATGGTAAAACAGTAAAACACCAGCATCAAACATTTTGTTAAATTTCATCTCCGTGTATTCGTTCTCAAAAGTTTTTAAACACCTCTAGTTAAAAATGAGATGTCGTAAAATCTACTTTTCCCTTTCCATTTGAACCCCTCCCAGATGTACCAACAGGCATAACAATGTCCACATTAGGGATGTTAAATTGCATGTAAACAGCTAATCGAGCAGTCAATGGAATTTCCATCGACTAATCGATGAGTCAATAAGGGGGGAAATGGCCCGGACAGCTAACCCCACTGTGGCTCTGCCTTTTAAATGAATTAAGAGCCATTAGGCAGCTGGGGGGCGGGGGGAGGAGGAGACGAGAGAGACCGGGAGTGAGTAGGGACTGCTGATTCCCACCAGGCTCTTAATACATTTAAAAAGCAGAGGCCCAGTCCCCCACTATGCCTCTGCCTATGCCTCTCCTCTCACTCCCCCTCCTCCCAGACGGTGCTGGGGAGAACCAGCTTTTAAGCCAACTCCTCCTCCCCCAGTGCCAGCTCTTGCTCTCCCTCCTTGCTGCCTCCCTCTCTGATGGGGAGAGGGGGATTGGAGCAACTAGTCGAGTCACTACTAAACAAGCATATGCTTATCAAGTAGTCAACTAATTGCTTATATCCCTGGTCCACAATGGGTCAGACCAAAGGTCCATCTCACCCAGTTCCCTGTTGTCCAAAAGTGGCCAATGCCAGGTGCCCCAGAGGGAATGAGCTGAACAGGTAATCATCAAGTGATCCATCCTCGTTCACACATTCCCAGCTTCTGGCAAACAGCGGCTAGGGGCACCATCCCTGTCCATCTTGGCTAACAGTCATTGATGGACCCGACCTCTATGAATTCGTCTAGTTCTTTTCTGAACCTTGTTATAGTCTTGGTCTTCACAACACCTCTAGTAAAGTGTTCCAGAGATTGAACTGTGTACTGTGTGAAGAAACACTTCTTTTCCTTGTTTTAAAACCTGCTGCCCATTAATTTCATTGGCAATCTCTAACTGTGTTATGAGTAAATAACACCTCCTTATTTACTTTCTCCATAACAGTCAACATTTTAGAGACTTATCTTATTCTCTTGTATATATTTTCCAAGCATTTTAATTTACAGATGCAGGACTAATATTGAAATGGTTATGGACACCACATGCTAAATGTAAATCTGCATCCATCTTGCCAGTTTAGACTTAAAATGAAACTATTAACTGTGATGTCACTAGTTAGAGGTCTTTATTAAAAAATAATGTAATGTACTATTACTGCTAATAGAAATTATCCTTTAACTCAAGAAGGAAGACTCCCTAATGGCATTTTTGAAACCATAAGGAAAACATAACACCACAATTAACTTAAGTTCAAAGTTTGAAAGGAAATGGGGTAAAAAATGATTATCTTCTCCAAAAAGTTATTTGTCCCTAGTATTCTGGAGACACTATAGCTTCAGTATTGTAGAGAGGACACTCAATAAGAAATTATCCTTTAACTCAAGAAGGAAGACTCCCTAATGGCATTTTTGAAACCATAAGGAAAACATAACACCACAATTAACTTAAGTTCAAAGTTTGAAAGGAAATGGGGTAAAAAATGATTATCTTCTCCAAAAAGTTATTTGTCCCTAGTATTCTGGAGACACTATAGCTTCAGTATTGTAGAGAGGACACTCAATACTTTTTAAGAGCCAGGATGAGAAGTACTCCTCATCATTTACACATTAGTATTATGTTTGCAGATTTACTACTATACTGCACATGTACCAGATGACTGACCTCTCTTCTTCGGGGAGGAGGAGGAGGAGAGGAGAGATCACAATTTTTTATTCTAGCTGGTTAAATAGCCTGTCAAATATTTAACAACATACAACTATTATACTTTGACATATCAACTAAAATTGAATTAAAACCTGAATAAAACTGAATGACACAAACCAACCAATGCACAGCTGCGCAGTACAAACCTTTACTTCTATTAATTCAGATATTTAATCAGAACAGAGGATGCAGTATTTAAAAATATGATTTGATTTAAAAGCTTTCCTCTACGGAAAAAGCATCCCTAAGCTCTCAACCACAGAGACATATGCTTTAAATATATAACAGTATGTAGCCATCTTACCTCTCTTCTGAGCTATACAGTCGAGCAAGCCCAAAGTCTGCAAGTTTAATCTGCCCTCTAGTGGAAAGAGTAAAGAATTTTTACTGATTCATCTTGTCAGATTTAAAAACCAAAAATATGTTTAAAATGCTTAAGCTCATCTATAGTTTAACTTGACTAATACACTAGTCAGTAGGAACACCATTACAAATTTACTGCATCTTCTCAATATGCATGCTAACCAATGCCATTTGAAAATCAAACCGTTAGGTATTTTAAAACGTTCTTTTTTCATTTGACAAATGCAGATATACACTTCAAAGAATACTAATGAACAGTTCAGGTATACTTTCTAAACTAATCAAGTCAGTAGTGCATGACTGCACTTACTATGTTGATAATACTTTGAAGAACAAAAACTGCCATTTTTGTACATTTTAAGCATAGTTATAGGGCTGTTGAGATCACCAATTCACAGCTCAGTAAAGTATTACTCATTGTAGGATGACCTATTTACAGGTTGGTAACTGCACCGATAATAAAAAATAGTAAATAATGAATATTTGCATAGCAACTGACTATCAGCAATCATACCTTCCTATGGGAAGCATACAAAACTAAACACTCCATTTGTACCAAAAGCTTAAGTTGGGATTTTAAGGATGATTCTTCAAAAGGCAAAAATAAAGGATGTTGCTGCTCAACAGGCAAAATACCATGCTTCCCTGGAAGGTTGGATGACTTACACTGGAAAAGACATTCGTAAGTTTCTTTAAGAAAGAAAAGGACATGGTGCTTTCACAAAGTCTAGTAATTAAAAAAAAAAACCCTTTACTTTTAAATGTTATGGAAGAAGTTTATTTTTCAAAAGACTTGTTCAAGGGTTTAAGGACAACTATGGAACAAAAACAGTCTGAATTTCAGTCGAAAGGGTCAATTGTACTTACTCCATGACACACACGGAACTGCTCTATATGTGATGTATGAAATGTAGCTGTACCCTGGTCAGTCCCAGGATATTAGAAAGAGAAAGGGGGCGAGGGTAATAGCTTTCACTGAATCAACTTCAGTTGGTAGTACCACAGATATGTATGTAAACAAACAGTGCATGCATGAAACTTGGATTATCACTGCCCTTGTAAGCAAGAGTATCAGTGCGTATCAAAATTGTGTGTTTGAACACACTTGGTAGCAGATTCTTTTAAATCAAAACACTGTACTTTATACTCCCAAAAGATTAGTTCCTCAGTATTATTCAACATGATAGATGAGTCTACATGCATTTGACTGTAAGATCAGATAAGCAAGAAAACACAAGATAAAAATCCTGTTTTCACATAGTATAATGTAATATAACATACAACAAAAATATACAGAACGTAACACCTGGTTGAAATGGCATACTAACTACCCATTGGAAAAATAATACAGAAAAACATAAGATGTCTAATTATTGGAATGTGAGAGGAATAACTTGTTTTAGAAGAAGGGGGAAGAAACCAGGGAAAACAGCCATCCTACACATTATTCTGGTGGACAAAGAGAAACCAAAATTGTGAATCAGAAGGATGCAGCCAATTTGTGTGGAAGTGATGATAGAAATGCTTCATGATTCTAAGAAAAGGCTGGAATGAAAGCTTAAGGACAAAGGACTCCAAAAAGGCAGACCAATAAACTCAGAAATGGTAGGCAGAGCCCCATAGGAAGGAAATGTAAGGGAAAAAGGAATACAGAAGAACTGCAATTTATCTGAGAGAAAAATATGACAGAAACTATCTCCATGAGTGACATACATAGAAAGAAGCTGGAAGAGGCCACTACGGGCAGTCCCCGAGTTACGCGGCTCCGACTTACGTCGGATCCGCAGTTACGAACGGGGTTTGCTCCACGTCTCCCTGGTCTGCTGGAGACCAGCAGACCAGGGAGACGGAGAGCAAAGCCTCTGAGGAGGCTGGCAGCAGGACAGCCGCGGCGCGTCTCAGCTGTCCCGCTGCCCGCGTGCTCCGTGTCTTTGCTCCGCGTCTCCCTGGTCTGCTGGTCACCAGCAGACCAGGGAGACGTGGAGCAAAGACGCAGAGGACCCAGGCGGTGTCTCCCTAGTCTGCTGGGGGGGGGGGGGGGGGGAGAGGGCAGCGCAGCTAGTA